CCTTGTAGAGGTTTAAGTATATTGCTCAATTCTCGAAGCAGAATATATCTTAATTAATAGAGTTTGAACAAAACCTGAAATCTCATGATTCTCGACCTACATCATTGACCGCTAGGCCAAAACTTTGAGTGCCAGTTAGCGTTAATTTCTCAAGGTTACCGAGTATTTTTCTAGGAGAATTCAGTCATGAAAGACTATCGTAATTAATAGGCATATCACCTTACAGAACTTATAGTAATATATCAGCTTGCACAGCTTAAAATGATTTACTTATAAACAGGGCATTTTCCCAGAAGAGAGATGGATCAGCTTAGTACATAGACATGTAATCATACTATTTACGCAAAAGATATATTGACCAGTTTCCAGAGCTGATAATATACAAAAAACACGCCATTTTACCTACTTCATGTGCAGATCGTTTCATGTATCGCTTCACCTCACAGCCAGATATTGTACAAAACGACAGCTCGTGACATCTACTCCATAGCAGTTGTTCCTTTCAGTCATATAGTTAGAGGTGAAGCATATCAGAACGAGCCTTCATTCCCTATTTGGCGTTAGCTCTGCTCCTTCTGGTACTAAAGTTTGCATCAGCTGCAGACAGTTTAACATGGTCAACATAAGCATCCAAGTGAAGGAAGGAGAGTACAACAAAAAATACAAAAAATGATACTAATGAATATTCCGAATTCAAATACTTGACACTATATTAACGTTACAATACCTTCCAATCATTGTAATTGTTAAATTAGGTCTTAGGCCTAACTCACACCCCAAAAGCTAGCTCAAAGGGAGGAGGATTGCCCAAGCCTTATAAGGAGTCCACTCATCTCATTAATCACCGATGTGGGACTTTTGTCATTCTTTAACACCCCACCTCACGTCCAGTGTCACGCCCAGTGCTTAGCATCTGGCGCATGGGCAATTTTGATTTTGGGGGTCCCAACATCGGGTGAGACGGGCCCTGCTCTGATACCATGTTAAATTAGGTCTTAGGCCTAACTCACACCCCAAAAGCTAGCTCAAAGGGAGGAGGATTGCCCAAGCCTTATAAGGAGTCCACTCATCTCATTAATCACCGATGTGGGACTTTTGTCATTCTTTAACAGTAATCATATCTCAGGATAAACTGGTGGCGTACAGCTCCACGATGTGTAATGCTCCGCGGAACTGGAGAAGTGATTCATCATATTACAATTCAGAAAGGAATAAAAGCAGAAAGGTACAAGCGAACAGATAGAATAAAGTTCAATGATCATATACGTGAAATAACTCGTGATATGCTTTTAGTTTTAATGTCATAGTAGAATATCTCATCCAGAATGGCAGAGTGAATTTACCTATCTTGCAAGCGAAACGAGAACCAGTTTCATCAGCAGAGATTGAAGCCTGCCCATCGTGTACTAAAAAAGAAAGTGCAAACAAATTCTCGACGGTATGAGCAAAGGAATTTCTCATTAGAAAGAGTTCGTCAAGCATGACACTTTTCTTCTCCTTTAAGAGCTCCGATATGTTTGACATATTCTTGCTAACATCAGGTTTGTCCTTGACAGTTTCACCAGCAACCTATAAAAAAGACTCGGAAAATGGAAGATCATTTATCAACCAAACAACGTAAAAAGAGTGGCAAACACAATCGATGGCCTCGGCTTTAGTTTTCTTCAAAATGCATATGGAAGCTGCAATCTCAAAAGATTGCATAGGGGAAATGACCATACCAATTTTGGCCGAGTAAGGTAGACCTTTCTCGGAGGCAATCTCCTGTAAACCACAATCTCTTTTGGATAAGAATGATAAACTACAAGCTGCTTCGTTGGCTTAAATTCAGTTTTCAGAACTCCAAGCCTGAGAACGAGCCGAAAGCACTCAACAGATTAAACATAATTACATTATTTTTCTTTGTTCTGTTCAAATTCATTAGTAAAGAAATGAAAATCTTACATTGTCTTGCAACCTTTGCCTTCCATAAACACGAGTGAAGCATCAGCTCCAATCTTTTCCCAATTCACAGTTTTTAGTGACTTCCCAATGATGAAATGTTCCATTGCATTCTTTGAACGTCCTTTTCGTAAACCATAGACTTGAAGCAACCAAGAGATGAATATAGAAGGTGAGATACTACAATTGGGACGTAATTGGAGAGATTCCACAACAGTATTGGTAAGTCCGAGCAAGGCCTCTGCATCCGCCACTTGCTCTCTTGGCCTCTTAACTGGAAAACCATACATTATAAAGTATACCAAGAGAGAGAAGCAGGGGAAAATACATAACAATTTGTTGCAGCAACTTCACGTGGCCATTGATATTGAGATAACACATTATGAAATCACATTTATAGCTTAGTGAGTCAAGAGTAAAGTTGAGCACACCTTGGAGAGTAGTACTTCAAGCAACAAACCAAAAATTGTACCTTATCGAAGAACAGAAATCGTAGCCTATTTTGGAACAACATCGAGAGTAGGATAATGAAAATGAGACGAGATCACCTATTTCATATATCCGCATTGTTCTTTACATATACATACATGGAAAAACACTTTTCGCAAAGCAATGTCAGGTGATACCCCTTTCTAAATTATGCCACAAGAAAGAAGCATAGAGGAGGTATCCAAACACATAAAAGACCACTTTCCTTCCCTCTTTCCAAATTCACATGACGCACTTTCTTTTTTTACTTTGTCTCAAGAAAACCAACTTCTTTCAATATAGTTTAGAAAGAATTTAACTTTAAAATTCCAAATATCAATGGCTTGTTCCTAAACCAAAAGTTCTAAGAAAAAAAATCTTTCTTTCTTAAACTTCATGTCCGAATCAAAGTGCATCACATAAATTAGGACGTCAAAAGTACATGAATACACACACATACATAAAAGGTCAGTCCATTGCACTAAGCTCCCGCTATGCACAGACCAGGAGAAGGGCCAAACCACAAGGGTCTATTGTACCTAACCTTACAAGAGGTTTTTTCTACAGCTCAAACTCATGATTCACATAGCAACAACTTTACTAGTTACGCCAAAGCTCCCGTTCACAAACATATATAAGAAAGCTAATAAAATATACCATTGAGATACAAGTCCTGAACACTATTCAACACAATGTTGAACTTATTTGATCCTGCAGCTCCAAGTTCACATCTTGTCTCTGCATTTCAAGAAAACCCCAAAAAACAAAAAAAAATAAAAACAATTGTAGGTAAATCAATGGCATAAAAAGTGTAAAAAAAAATTACAAATACCATCAACAATGGTTCTAATAAGAGAGTATTGTAATCGAACACTACGACGAAGTGAATCAGGCTGATTAGTAAAGTCATTGATCTCATTAAAAGCTTCAAGATTTTTTAGCCTTTGTGACAAATCATTTATTCTACTTAATTCTTTATCTTCTTCTAGTTTAATTTTCTTAGCTCTAGTTGTTGGACTCATGGCTTTACACTCTTCTTCTTCTATGAAAGTTGAAATAGTGAAACAAAAGGGGCTTGGCTTTACTTGCATTGAGAAATGTGAAGAGTATATGAGAAGGTGAACAGGCTAATTATTAGTATATTGGCAAATAGTAGGATATTTGAATGTGAAAAGACTTGCATCATGTCTCTTACGTAAGCTTTATATTTCACTATTTCTAATACTCCTTCGTTATGTTCACGGATACCATTGGAATTTCGAGAGTCGATTAAAAAATATTGATTAAATTTCTATGTTTGAATTTATAATTAAAATTTAGATGATTGAATTTCGAAATTCTTATGGTGGCATATAGATTTAGACGGATGGAATAACTTGTTTGTCCTTGTAAAATCTGATTAATATAAAAAGTATTTTGAATTGGGTGTTTTTGTTTTATTGTTAATGTCACTAATGTATTGTTAAATCCGTCATTATGCAATAAAATAAATAGCTACTTTTTTTGGTATGAAATGAAAAATGGGAAGGAATTGTTAACTAGGCCAAGTATACATGTCTTAAATTCATCAGCCTTAAATATCGGTTAGGTCGAATGATTTGCTACTCATGACAAGGGCATCAATAGCTAGCCCCAAAATATAACAGAGGATAAATTTAGATACTATGTAACAAACTGAATTCCAACAGAAGCACTCTTATATATATTAATTACTGAATACAAGTTACAAGATAGAATACGCACAACAAAGTAATAACACACTAATTACGAATAGCTTAACATAGACGAAGGTAACTAGAAGGGGATGAGATACTAGACCATAGAAAGGAGATGAGAGGATCAGAAAGCCAAAGCTTCACATAATTTCCAGGCCCCTTCTTCTAACTTCTAGTCCTTTTTAATAGAGACACTAATTGGGCCTGGATCCCCAAATAAAAGTATCTAATAGCCCATAGGCCCTTACCAAGTCACATCGGGTTCACAACATACTACGTATTTCTTATAGTAGAGTACACAACTGTTAGAAAAATACTACTATATGTTTCACTGGTGAAGAATAAATCTATTTACGACTACTACATTTATACATATGAATCGATTTGATTTACAACTCAAATAATGTATACTAATAATTTTCAAATTTAACATGGATAAAAAGGAGTTAAGCTGCCAACACTATATATGGCTGATGAAATTAAGATGTTAATAGAGTGTAGAGGATCTGTTATTAACATCTCTTCAGTTGCTAGTCTGAATCGGGTACTCGGAGGTCAAGCTTATGCTTCTTCAGAGATGCCTTTTGACAATCCAACAGATACTTGGCCTGGTTAAAAATGAACATTTTATTTTCTTCTTATAGTTACATCAATAGACTAATTAACTGAACCACTGATGTATCTATTATCGAATTGTACATTTAATTTCTTCAAATAATCGGGAGTATACAATATCAGAGTGAACTCATGAATAAAGAATTTCCAAATCGAAGACAACATAGAGAACCAGGAATCTTTATTAATGTAACGATGGACATAAACAATACAATAGTAGTAACATTTAACCAATTCCAAGTAATGGTATTCTACTTAATTTCAAAGCTTATTTTTATACCAGTAAACACCTTTGCCTTGATGAGAACCTCTATCTTTTTCAACATAGATGCAATCCTTGGTATCCCTCCACAGTGCCTTTAAAATTGGGGTATCATCAACTTGATAGTATTCACCAAGCAACGGTTTGATAGCGTTAGTTGCCTCCATTGCATGGTAATGTGATATGTATGAGAATATATGATGCAAAACATGAGTATCTGTAACATTGTGAAACACCTTATTTAGCACACCATAGTCTCTATCTACCGTAGCTAGAGCCCCTCTTAGATAATCCCACTCCGATGAATCATAATGTGGCAATGAAGCGTGAGTGTGGTGTAACAAAGTTATCAAAACTATAAATCCATTCATAATTACAAGGGGCACTCCATAGATGCATACAAGCCAAGTTACCCCTTGTGTCAAAGCAACGCGATACAACACATAAGTTGTTGCAAGAATACCTGCATCTGAGATGTAGATTTGTAGCCTTTCACGGTCAGTATATATTGGGCTATATGGATCGTAATGACATGCAAAACGGTCATATTTTTTGCCGGAGATATTGAACATCAAGTATAAAGGCCAGCCAAAAGTGAGGGTGAAGGCAAGTACGAGTACTCGTCCTAGTGGATTGTTCAAGTATTTATAGTACCATCTTAGTTTTGATTTAAAACTAGGTAAGTAAACTTCATCATTCTCAAGGGAACCTGTGTTGGCATGGTGACGACGATGACTATGTTTCGATGCAAAGTAGGGTGTTAAAAGGGCAGAGTGGAGGATATAGCCAACAATGTCATCTACCCATTGGTAATCACTAAAGCCATGGTGACCACACTCATGGCCAATGACCCATATTCCGGTACAAACACAACCTTGAACGATCCAGTAAGCAGACCATGCTAGATAATTATACGGGGAAGGAATGAGGTGGAAGTAAGTGGTGGCAATATAATAGAAGACGGAGACAAGTATGAGATCCTGAATAACATAGGAAAACGAGCGAATGAGAGATCGTTGAAAACAGTGAGGAGGAATGGCCTTCTTGAGGTCACCAACTGTAAAAGGAGGTTTCGAAGATGGAACTCTTTCGAGAGGATTTTTCTTTTTTGAATCTTTAGTTGTTCGAGAAGACATATTGCCACCGCCTCCCATTTTCGTTCATATGATAATAAGCGTTTAATTCTAACAAACGAACGATATTAAAGTCTTACTCTATTCTCTAGGAAAAAGAGAAAGAGATCAAATGCTTATTGAGTGGTTTCTCACTTTGTGAAAATAATGTGTGTGTGTGTATATAATGGCTATATGTGGGACTCACATTGCCAATTTTATTAGTTCATCAATGGCTTGGCAGCTTCATGCACATTAATTGTTGTGTGTAAAGATTTCAATTTTATCTTAACTTGTGCAGTAGTCTGATTAACAAATGTATAATGAGATCCAATATATGTTTTGGTAATCATGTTTTAGCTAATTTTGGTTTGTGTACTTTGGGAAAAAGGTTTGAAGTAGAGCTGTCAAAATGGACTTGGAATCAAGGCCGGGTTTGATTGCTTTTGTGTAATTTTCTTGGGTTGTCCCTTTTAGAGACAACTTAATAGTAAATGACCCTCTTTTTATTCATACCGTAAATTAGGGACCTTTTAAATTATGATTTAAAGATTTCTTTTGAACAAACTGAAATTTGTTAGTTATTATAAACATTGGACGAAATTTAATATTTTGTCGGTAAGGTTGAGCAATGTATGAACAAACATATTGTGATCCGAAAGGATAAGTTTTCAAAATAAGAACAATACGACTTATCCCTATATAGTAACTCACAAGCACAAACACATTGTTGTAATGTCCAAAATACTCTTTTAATCATGGTTTACTTTGACATCTATGTATAGCATTCCTTCATATTCAAAGGTGTTTTCATGTAAAATTTCGCTCTGATATCTTCTAAAGCAAACTACACACGCACACAAATACTATAAGAAATTCGAGTTTCCATGATGACTCATAAGTAGCCTAAAAAGTAAGATTTTTTTCTAACTGTTCATAAATCACCTAAAAGTGAAATACTGTTTTTTTTCTCCCTAAGCTACCCTACACAAAAAGAATGTTCTTACTTTATCCTTTAGTATAACTCGAACCCTCAAATCTCAATCTACCAGTTGATAGTGAAGACGCCCAACCACTTGAGCAAGTCTCACTTGTCATACATAGCTAATCCTAGAATTGTTCTATCGCATTGAATTTGGTATAAAAATAATACAGAGAATTTTACAATATAACTATATATATTCTATAATTAAAAATAGATAACCAAACACGAAACAAAACGATACAATTTATTGTACCATTATTATTTTATACCCTCTCAATTTTAATTCGTTTGTCCTATTTAACTTGACATAGAGTTTACGAAAGTAAAAAAAAAAATTGAATTTTGTAGTCTTAAGTAAAATATATGTTTAATATATCAAAATGTCCTTTAATCATTTGGTTTTAAACCTGTCATAAAAAAAAAAAGTTATCTAAAAAGAAAAGAGACATTTTAAAAAGTATATTAAAAAGAAATGTAAAACAACCAAAAACAGGAAAATGTTTTGTAGTACTCCATATACCAAAATGTATTTGCTACTGGCTTGCCTAATTTTATTGGTTCATTAATAATGGGAGATCAATAAATGACACGGCAGGTAGAGTTATTTAAGAAATAGGAGTAATGAAGTACAGATTCAGATATGGGGCCAAAATAATAATAATAATAATAATAATAATAATATAATAATAATAATAAATAATAAATAATAATAATAATAATAATAATTGATAATAATATTAATAATAATAATAATAATTGATAATAATAATAATAATAATAATTGATAATTGTCCCCTAGTGATTTTGACCATGTGCTTTAGATTCCAGTTCCATCATTATTATAACCATGTTTATTATAAGTAATTACCTATTAATGTAGATAAATAATATTATAAAACAGAGTTTAAATTATATATGTTGATATAAACAAAAATTATACCATCGTGTCATTATTATGTGATCCCACATTTACAGTGTTCAATGTAAATTCAATGTATTCCGCAACATTTTGATACCAAATTATGACTAGACGTTTTGTAATTAAATAAAACCTTGCTATTTTCCATAAGTGCAAATATCACTATTTACGAAAAATTTCTCTAAACAAAATGACCTTAGTATTGTGTAATATCCAAAAATGGAATAAAGTTAGAGCTCCCACAATGGCAAAATATATAGAGATATATAAACTTTAAACTGTCAGTTTAATTAAAATGTACTAATACTTAATTTTAACTTATCCATTGAGCAACCAGATGCTTCAACTTCATATGATTGGCTTGTTTAGTGGATCACTTAAGCTGGTAATGCCAAAATATTTATCTTTTAATAATTATATAACAAGTGCGTTTTTTAAAATATATATTTTTTTAATCGTTTAACTTTAGTTATTATTATATTCTATTTCTATATATGAGGCGCTAATACTAGAACTAACTACTCGACTGAATTCACGTGGTGGTGTCTATAGGTTAATAATTTAGTAGAGTAATATATTGATAAAAATAATTATTTCATGTTGTTCCTGTCCAGTGCACGCCTAGACATCATAAAAAATACGTTTTCGAGTTGAGGACAAAGATTATATTATTTTATTTTTGCATATGAATTATTTATTACCCATGCTATATTAAACAATGAAATAGGTTTGTCATTTAATTATTAAAATTGGGAGAAGGATATTGTTTAAAATTCCTAAAATTAAAATATATTTGATTTATATAATTAAAAAAAAAGATTCAAGAATTATAATTTAGTGAAGGGGTGAGTTGTTTAAAAATATAGTCTTGTACACTGTTACAACAATATTTTTGCCGGCAACAATTATGACGATGATAATATAACTATCTCTACATTATTACATTTAGCGCCAATAATAGTATGAGTTTTATAATTAATCAACACTCTATGTAAATGTTGCTAAAGACTTTAACGACACATGATATAATGACATTAACTCAATTGAAATTATATATTCTTGCGGCAGTAAATATTGTCACTAAAGGTGTAATATGTTGCCACTAAATGTCTCTTTGTTGTAGTATGTATTCATTCAGTTTATATCTAATATGTGGGATATATATGTATATTAGAAGTTTAATTTGCTTGTATATATCCCTCATTTCTGGCTTGATATGATGGATTATGCTTCGTGGTTGCGATTCTTAACAATGTATTTGCATAAATTGTTTTTTTGCTCCTCGGGGCCTCGAGGGTGTTTACCGCCTAAACAACCCCTGTTGTTGCTTGTTTACATTCATAAAAAAGACATTTTCTTAGATGCTTAACAATAAATCTAAAGTAACACTACAAATACAATACTATGAAAAGACACAATCCACAATACTTAGGCTGAACATTTAGCCTTTTATTGCTATTTCAAATTTAGAAGTTGTTTTTATACCAGAAAATACCCTTTCCCTGAGATGCTTCATCATCTTTCTCGACGTAGATGCACTCAAAATCCCTCCATATTGCTTTGTAAAATGGAGTTCCATCAAATTGATAATATTCTCCTAGTAATGGCTTGATGGCCTTGGTTGCCTCCATAGCATGATAATGTGGTATACTTGAAAATAGATGATGTAGAACGTGTGTATCTACTATATGATGAAACACCTTATTTAGAACCCCATAGTCTCTATCTACTGTAGCTAGAGCTCCTCTTAGCCAACTCCACTCCGATGAATCATAATGTGGCAATGAAGCATGAGTGTGATGTAGTAAAGTTATTAACACCATGAACCCGATCACAATTAGTAAGGGCACCCCATAGATGCATACAACCCAAGTTAGCCCTTGTGTCAGAGCAACGCGATACAATACATAAATAGTTGCAATCAGACCTGCATCTGAAATGTAGATTTGTAGTCTCTCACGATCATTGTAAATAGGGCTATATGGATCATAATGACTTGCAAAGCGATCATAAGGTCTACCAGCTATATTGATGGCATAGTACAAAGGCATGCCAGCAGTGAGGGTGAAGGCAAGTATGAGTAATCGTCCTAGTGGATTATTCATGTATAATTTGGTGTACCATCTAAGTTTGGTTTTAAGCTTTGGCATATGATTTTCATCATGCTCAAGGGAATTAGTGTTGGAGTGGTGACGACGATGACTATATTTCCATGAGAAATATGGTGTTAAAAGTGCAGAGTGGAAGATAAAAACCGACAGTGTCATTTATCCACTGGTAATCACTAAATGCCTGATGGCCACATTTCATGGGCAATGACCCATATTCCGGTGCAAACACAACCTTGAACAATCCATGAAATAATAATACGGTGATGGAAGGATGTGGAAGTAAGAGGAGGCAATATAATAAAAGACGGAGACAAGCATGAGATCTTGAACAAGATAGGAGGAGGAGCGAATGAGAGATCGATGAAAGCAGTGAGGTGGGATAGCCTTCTTGATATCACCAACTGTAAAAGGGGACTTTGAACTTGGCACTCTTTCGAGAGGATTTTTCTTTGTTCTGTTTAGCTGTTGGAGCAAACATATTGCCACCGCCTCCCATTTTTGTCTTCAAACCTGAGAAAGCAACAATTAAATTTGTTGTGAGAAGTCGAAAAATAGTACTAGTAAATAGAACAAGAAAATGAGAGTAAAGATAGGTTTTTGGTAAAAAGGGAAATACCTCAAAAGTTCAAAACACACCTTTTAGCCTTACCTGAAAGTTAGAGAGTTCTCTCTTCTTTATAGAAAAATAGAGGTCTGGCCAACTCTTTTTTCTTTTTTAATTTACCATCTGATATTCGGAACTCGGTTTTGACTAATCTAGATTCCCAGGCTCACTACCATCCATTTAACTTAGAAGCGTTCCTTATCAAGAATTTCTCTATTCTCATAGCTCAAACTCGAGACCTCTGATTAAGTATGGAAAAAAATTCCCCTTGCATCCTTAATTTGGAGGTTGATTAGATCTGAAAATAAATTCGTATAAACTAGTAGTAAACTAAAGAGGCCATATGTATTCTTGATGGCTCCATGTGGTTTAGATTCCTTCATTATTAACCCCATACATACAATGATGCTATTTACTGAGCAAGCCTCTTAATATACTTCAAGTTGATTTTTCAAACATTCACTCAAAACATTGTATTTCAATCACATAATGTAATACAAATATAGTACGGTATGAAAACAATACATAATAGAACGATAGGAAACAACAATCCTAACAAACTATAAAGAGACCTCAGTTCAAAATACTTATTGTGACTCATGTTATCCAAATCGATTTTTAATTCATCTCGTTTTTATACCAAAAAATACCTCTATCTTGAAATCTTTCATCCTTTTCTACATAGATGCACTCCTTATAATCCCTCCATAATGCCTTATAAAAAGGGGTACTATCAAATTGGTAGTATTCTCCTAGTAATGGCTTGATAGCTCTGGTTGCCTCGAGTCCGTGGTAATGTGGAATCGTTGAGAATAGATGATGCAAAACGTGAGTATCTGGAATGTGGTGGAAGACCTTATTTAGTACACCAAAGTCTCTGTCTACCGTAGCTAGAGCTCCTCTTAGCCAATCCCACTCTGATGAATCATAATGTGGCACGGAAGAGTGAGTATGGTTCAAGAGAGTGATTAACACGATGAAGTTGTTCATAATTTGGAGGGGCACTCCATAGATACATACAAGCCAAGTTAGCCCTTGTGCCAAAGCAATGCGATACAACACATAAGTAGTTGCAATCACACCTGCATCTGAAGTATAGATTTGTAGCCTCTCGCGATCATAATAACTCGGTCCATGTGGATGATAGTGACTTGCATAGCGAGGATAAGTTCTGCCAGAGGCATTGAAGGCCAAGTACAAAGGCCACCCAAGATTGAGGGTGGTGGCAAGTCCGAATACTCGTCCTAGTGGATTTTTGTTCAAATACTTGGTGAGCCACGTTACTTGGGATTTTAGGCTTGGCACATACACTTCATCATACTCAAGGGAACTAGTGTTGGAGTGGTGACGACGATGAGTTTATTTCCATGAAAAGTATGGTGTTAAAAGTGCAGAGTGGAGGATAAGACCAATAGTGTCATTTATCCAGGGATAATCACTGAAGGCCTGGTGGCCTAATTCATGGCCAATCATCCATATTCCAGTTAAAACACAGCCTTGAGCAATCCAGTAAATAGCCCATGCTAGGTAACAAAATGGAGACTGTAAGGTGGTGGCAATTTTTGAACCATTTTTTTTCCATAAGACTCTTTGTTATCGCAGAGTTGAAAATTCCTGGTGATATTGAGTTCACTCTGATATTGTCTATTCCTCTAAGAAATCTTGGAACGATAGATCCAGCTTTAACATCAGTTGTTAGGTACTTAATCCATGATTACTCAGAATATGTATCTGGCAATGTTTTCATTGTTTATGCTGGAGCTACCTTACCAACTGTTCCAATTTTCTCATCTCTCTAAGATTAGCTCATGAAGACGTAGAATTTTATCTGATCGTTTAGCTTATTGAGAAATATACAATATGATCAAGAAATGGATATGTACATTGGAGAAAAAAAATGTTTGTTTTGTTACATTATAGAGTGCCAGTTAGCGTTAATTTCTCAAGGTTACCGAGTATTTTTCTAGGAGAATTCAGTCATGAAAGACTATCGAAATTAACATGCATATCACAACCTTTCAGAACTTATAGTAATATATCTGCTTGCACAGCTTAAAATGATTACTTATAAACAGGGCATTTTCCCAAAAGAGAGATGGATCAGTTTAATACATATACATGAAAACATACTATTTACCCAAAAAGATATATTGACCAGTTTCCAGAGCTGATAATATACAAAAACACGCCATTTTACCTACTTCATGTGCAGATCGTTTCATGTATCGCTTCACCTCACTGCCAGATATTGCACAAAACGACAGCTTGTGACATCTACTCCATAGCAGTTGTTCATTTCAGTCATATAGTTAGAGGTGAAGCATATCGGTGTTCATTTCCTATTTGGCGTTAGCTCTGCTCCTTCTGGCACTAATGTTTGCATCATCTGTGCACAGTTAAACATGGTCAGCATACAACATCCAAGTGAAGGAAAGACAGTTCAACAAAAAATACAAAAAAGGATATGATACCTTCCAATCATTGTAATCATATCTCAAGATAAACTGATGGCGTACAGCACCACGATGTGTAATGCTCCGCGGAACTGGAGAATTGATTCATCATATTACAATTCAGAAAGGAATAAAAGCGGAAAGGTACAAGCGAACAGATAGAATAAAGTTCAATGATCATATACGTGAAATAACTCGTGATATGCATTTAGTTTTAATGTCATAGTAGAATTTCTCATCCAGAATGGCAGAGTGAATTTACCTATCTTGCAAGCGAAACGAGAACCAGTTTCATCAGCGGAGATTGAAGCCTGCCCATCGTGTACTAAAAAAGAAAGTGCAAACATATTCTCGACAGTATGAGCAAAGGAATTTCTCATTAGAAAGAGTTCGTCAAGCATGACACTTTTCTTCTCCTTTAAGAGCTCCGATATGTTTGACATATTCTTGCTAACATCAGGTTTGTCCTTGACAGTTTCACCAGCAACCTATAAAAAAGACTCGGAAAATGGAAGATCATTTATCAACCAAACAACGTAAAAAGAGTGGCAAACACAGTCAATGGCCTCGGCTTTAGTTTTCTTCAAAATGCATATGAAAGCTGCAATCTCAAAAGATTGCATAGGGGAAATGACCATACCAATTTTGGCCGAGTAAGGTAGACCTTTCTCAGAGGCAATCTCCTGTAAACCACAATCTCTTTTGGATAAGAATGATAAACTACAAGCTGATTCCTTGGCTTAAATTCAGTTTTCAGAACTCCAAGCCTGAGAACGAGCCGAAAGCACTCAACAGATTAAACATCATTACATTATTTTTCTTTGTTCTCTTCAAATTCACTATTAAAGAAATGAAAATCTTACATTGTCTTGCAACCTTTGCCTTCCATAAACACGAGTGAAGCATCAGCTCCAATCTTTTCCCAATTCACAGTTTTTAGTGACTTCCCAATGATGAAATGTTCCATTGCATTCTTTGAACGTCCTTTTCGTAAACCATAGACTTGAAGCAACCAAGAGATGAATATAGAAGGTGAGATACTACAATTGGGACGTAATTGGAGAGATTCCACAACAGTATTGGTAAGTCCGAGCAAGGCCTCTGCATCCGCCACTTGCTCTCTTGGCCTCTTAACTGGAAAACCATACATTATAAAGTATACCAAGAGAGAGAAGAAGGGGAAAATACATAACAATTTGTTGCAGCAATTTCACGTGGTCATTGATATTGAGATAACACATAATGAAATCACATTTATAGCTTAGTGAGTCAAGAGTAAAGTTAAGCACACCTTGGAGAATAGTACTTCAAGCAACAAACCAAAAATTGTACCTTATCGAAGAACAGAAGTCATAGCCTATTTTGGAACAACATCGAGAGTAGGATAATGAAAATGAGACAAGATCACCTATTTCATATATCCGCATTGTTCTTTACATATACATACAAGGAAAAACACTTTTCGCAAAGCAATGTCAGGTGATACCCCTTTCTAAATTATGCCACAAGAAAGAAGCAAAGAGGAGGTATCCAAACACATAAAATACCACTTTTGTTCCCTCTTTCATAATTCACATGATGCATGTTCTTTTTTTACTTTGTCTCAAGAAAACCAACCTCTTTCAATATAGGTTAGAAAGAATTTAACTTTAAACTTCCAAATATCAATGGCTTGTTCCTAAACCAAAAATTCTATGAAAAAAAAATCTTTCTTTCTTAAACTTCATGTTCGAATCAAAGTGCATCACATAAATTAGGACGTCAAAAGTACATGAATACACACACATATAAAAATGGTCAATCCATTGCACTAAGCTCCCGCTATGCACAGACCAGGAGAAGAGCCAAACCACAAGGGTCTATTGTACCTAACCTACAAGAGGTTTTTTCCACAGCTCAATCTTATTAACTCACATAGCAACAACTTTACCACAACTTTACTAGTTACGCCAAAGCTCCCGTTCACAAACATATATAAGAAAGCTAATAAAATATACCATTGAGATACAAGTCCTGAACACTATTCAACACAATGTTGAACTTATTTGATCCTGCAGCTCCAAGTTCACATCTTGTCTCTGCATTTCAAGAAAACCCCAAAAAACAAAAAAACAAAAATCATCAAAAAAAAATAAAAATTATAGCAAAATCAATGGCATAAAAAGTGTAAAAAAAAATTACAAATACCATCAACAATGGTTCTAATAAGAGAGTATTGTAATCGAACACTACGACGAAGTGAATCAGGCTGATTAGTAAAGTCATTGATCTCATTAAAAGCTTCAAGATTTTTTAGCCTTTGTGACAAATCATTTATTCTACTTAATTCTTTATCTTCTTCTAGTTTAATTTTCTTAGCTCTAGTTGTTGGACTCATGGCTTTACACTCTTCTTCTTCTTCTATGGAAGTTGAAATAGTGAAACAAAGGGGCTTTACTTTACTTGCATTGAGAAATGTGAAGAGTATATGAGAAGGTGAACAGGCTAATTATTAGTACTACTAGTAATATATTGGCTAATAGGATATTTGAATTTGATTGTGAAAAGACTTGCATCATGTCTCTTACGTAAGCTTTATATTTCACTATTTCTAATACTCCTTCGTTATGTTCACGGACATCGTTGGAATTTCGAGAGTTGATTAAAAAATATTGATTAAAAAGCTTAAAACTTTTATGTTTGAATTTATAATTAAAATTTAGAAGATTGAATCTCGAAATTCTTATGGTGGCATTAGACGGATGGAATTACTTGTTTGTCCTTCTAAAATCTGATTAATATAAAAAGTACTTCTAGTGTTTCAATTTGTTTATCTTGCATTTTCTTTTAGCCTGTTTAAAAAAATAATCGTCTGACATGGTATGTCTAAGATTACAAGATTAAATACCATACAAAGATTTATAGTCACACAAAATTTATTTTACACCGTAAATTTAAAAAAGCTTTCTTTTTTCTTTAAGCTCGTGTCAAGTCAAATAACATCACATAAATTGAAATATAGAGAAAAAATTATAGTATTAAAGAAGTAGTTACTTCAGTTAAACTCATACCTATTTATGTCGAGGGTTACTGATTCTAACAAATATAAAAATTGACCAACCTCATTCATTTGTTGTTCGAAAGTCTATTGAAAACAACATTTTTACCTCCAAGAAAGGTAATACTAGTTACATTAAAATAACAAATAAAATCAGAACTACATATAATAGATTTTCGTAATTCCATTCTTGGTCAAATCCCGCATATAACAAGAGGTTAGTGAACCGCGCTGCTATAAACAAGAGAGGGAAAAGATGAACCCATAAATTACCAAAAAAAAACAAAAATATAAAAAGTATAGTATACTTCTTCAAGTAATAATTCAACCCATAAATTATCAAAATAAAATGCTTTCCCACATTTCAGCTTCCCTTTCTCACACCTCTTCTTCCACCACCGCTTTCTTCCTCTCTTCCACCGCCAAATTTCTCCGACCCAGATGCTCTTTTTGCCCTAAACCCCCTTTTCAGTTCCCAATTCATCAAAAACGACACCGTTTTGTGTTTTCTCAGAGCACAGCAGCTTCAATGGACTCTGCTGCCACTGTTGATTCAGTTGCTGATGATTTAAAGAAACAAAACTTAGAAGGAGTTGAAATTAAGCTTAAATTGAATCTTGAAGAGCTTAATTGGGATAACTCTTTTGTTCGTGAACTACCTGGCGACCCCAGAAGTGATAGTATTCCAAGAGAGGTTTGTGTTCTAATTTTTCAAAGATTTTGTATTCAAGATTGAATTTTTATTTGATTGAATGTAAAAGGTGTTTTTTTTATTGGGGATATTACTCTTTATGGTGTTAAAGTAGTTGATTTGACTTATATATTATAGGCATAATAGATAAATAGACACTCAAACTTGGCTTCCAAATTTTATGGTCCACGTCAGCATCGGGTGTACACGTGATATAGTAAAGACGAGTTGGAGTATTTGGTTGCTAGTTGAAATCTAGTTGAGGTGTCTAGATGTACACTCTTAAAGTTGGAGTGCTTGCTTGCTAGATGAGACTAAGTTTGAGTGTTTGTTTATGTGTTATGCCTATATTGTATTAGTGATAGTGAGAGAAGATACTAAAATCTTGGTCGAAAAGTTAATTTGACAGAGAAGATGTCTCAAAAGCTCAAATTTTAAGTAGTAATGCATATTCAAGATTGGATTTTTGTTTGAAGACATGAGAAACTGGTTGGAATATCTTGAGCTACTCCCTTCGTCCGCGTGAGCTGGTTCACATTGCCTGTCCCAATCCCGGTAAAGGAGGAGGGTTGCCGATGGTCAGTCGGAAGCAACCTCTCTACCCATAAAGGTTGGGGTAAGGCTGCATACATTTTACCCTCCCCAGACCCCACTTGTGGGATTACATTCATCCTATTTGTGTGATTGTGTTTGCCAAATATGAGGTTAAATTGTTAATTAGACTTATATATTGTATTAGTGGTAGTGGAAGAAAATATTAAGGTAATCATTGAAAAGTCAGTTGGATTAATCATATCAAAATAAATTTTTTGAATAGCTTAATGAAATTGAATTCTGGAAAGTTGTGCAAGAATGGTGTCAAATATCTTAAAAGTCGAAAAAATATAACTGTCATGTATATTAGAACAGAAGTATTACATTTGTGAGAGCTTGGGAGAAAATATTGGAGTAATGGTTGAAATGTAATTTTGGTACAGAAGGCTTCACATTGAAGTTTGAAACTTGATAAGTGTAAATGTATTACTTAAGTTGTCAGCGCATAGAAATGGGATTATGTCAAATAGTCTAGATGTCTCAACATGGAAAGAGTGCAGTATAAATTGGGCTGGAGGGAATATTGTTTATTCATAACTAGCTAACAAGTTTAGGTTTATAATAGATAGATATACTCGTGCTGATGTGCCATAGAAGTTATTCCTTGATTGCAAAAAATGTGGAAAATAGTTGTTACCAATGTGATAAGCAATGCAGTTTGCATTGAGTTTGACATGTCAGTAACTGAAGATAGAATCCTTTTGCAAGTCATTATCTGTTCAAACATTGTGTTTGTAGGTGTTGCATGCTTGCTACACGAAAGTGTTACCCTCTGTACCGGTCAATAACCCTCAGCTTATAGCATCGTCAGAATCAGTGGCGGAGTTACTTGAATTGGATCCTAGAGAGTGAGTTTTTAAAAGCTTGATAATGTTATGGCCACGCTAATTGTGGCTTGATGAAATTGTCATAGACTTACTTTAATCTTTCAGATTTGAGAGGCCTGATTTTCCCCTTATTTTCTCAGGGGCATCACCATTGGTGGGAGCGTAAGTTTCTTGAAGCTTGTCGACTTTTTCTTTGAAATTTTAGTAATGAAACAACATCTAAGGTTGGAGTTGATTCCGCAGGATACCTTATGCCCAAAATTATGGAGGACATCAGTTTGGCATGTGGGCCGGGCAGTTAGGGGATGGTAGGGCAATAACTCTTGGAGAAATTTTGAATTCAAAGTCACAAAGGTGGGAGCTGCAGCTTAAGGGTGCTGGAAAGACCCCATATAGTCGTTTTGCTGATGGTCTTGCAGTGCTTCGTAGTAGCATCCGAGAATTCCTTTGTAGTGAAGCAATGCACGGTCTTGGAATCCCAACAACACGAGCACTTTGTCTAGTGACGACAGGAAAAGATGTCATGAGGGATATGTTTTATGAGTATGTTCCTCAGCGACAATTTTTTATGTTGTTTGATAAGTTGCATAAATCAGCAAGAAATCATCTTGCTAGCCTTGAATTGTATTTCGTGTTCTCTTCATCATGTGTATCATCTTTACCTTCAAATCTTCTATGCCTTTGGAAGAATGAAACTGTGAGGAGTTTGATGAAGTTGATGAGAAGCTTCCTATAGACTTCTTTATGGGGAGGCTTGGAGTCTGCATAGTAATTCATGTCTCAGAATTATACTCCACATAAACTTTGTTCATTCTAGTGCATTTTCTTTTCCACTATTGATTATTGTCTTCTGTTTCATGCAGTGGAAATCCCAAAGATGAACCTGGTGCAATTGTCTGCAGAGTTGCCCAGTCGTTTCTGCGTTTTGGTTCATATCAACTGCATGCCTCTAGAGGAAAAAAGGATTTTGAGATCGTCCGTGCTTTGGCAGACTATGCCATTAGACATCACTTCCCCCATTTGGAGAATATGACTAGGAGTGAAAGCATATCATCTAACACAGGCGAGGAAGACAATTCAGCTGTGGATTTAACTTCAAACAAGTATGCAGGTAAATATATAGGCTATCTTGAAGATAACCTATGGATTCCCTTGCCTATGAAAAAATTAGTCTCCTTATAAAGGCTGCATATAGAGTGCGCAAGGAGAGTAATGGCAGTTGTTCATTGAGGACTAATCAGTGTTTCAAACTTCTCCATTTTTGCTGACACTCTTTATCATATTCATATTGTCACGCCCCGAGCCTACACCCTGGGCGGGACCGGCACTCGGAGACCATTGCTGGCCCTAAGCGAACCCTTGGCCTGGCTTTCTTAACTCAGCGGAAACTTAACTCAACAGAATAACTCAATGCCATGCAAAGACATAAATAACTTAACTGATGAAATCAAGCCAAAAAGGCAACTCTAGTCTCAAAATAGAATATTTACATAAATACATAGATGAGAGACTCAATATTAACTGATTGTCTGTCTATGAAGCCTCTAACGTACTGAGATGGATGTTGGGACAGACCCCGCAACATCCTAATAACACAAAACTAAAAGAACAAAACAATTGAGTCCTCCGGAAGCAAGGAGGCTCACCACTGACTCTAGAGTGCTCAGCTGGATCAACGGCGTGCAGGATGCTGATCCGGGGTACCTG